GAAAATTTGCAGGGAGGTTTCCCCAGAGTTTAATGGAAAGAAACTGGGTGTGGAGGATCTTTAGACAGTGACTTGTACTTAAGACAAATGACGTCACATCTTGGTGAATTTCCCTTTTTATTTTTCAGTTGTAGAATAGAGATAGTAATGTTCTTTTTCAGGTTACAATAAGGATTGCATATGTCCATGAATGACTAAGAATAGTGACTGTCTCTTCAGGGCTCCTTGATATCTCTGTCTGTGACGTTTGATGTAGTAAATGGAACTGACATTACTTACCAGTTTCTACCATGCTGAGATGCATTTCTGACCCAGGCTGACGGATAAAGACTTGAGTACTTAGCAATGTTCAGCCAGAAACAGCCTATCTCAATATGAAAGGGCTCAGAAATCTCATATGTACATATGAGTGACATGTGTATATAATTTGATATTCTGTGGGCACTGTGTGGATTTTCTCCAAAGTGGGTTGCATGGGCTCAGGATGGTCCCTTTGATCCCAGGGCTGCTTATAAAAACCAAGAGAGCCATTTAAGTTGTTTTGAGAAGCTACATTAACCCCTGTGGTGTCCCAAAACCACAGCCATAGCTAGTCTTCCAAAGGAGAGCTACTGTTACCTTCAGTCCTTCTGTGGCAAGAAAGACAGATGTGCAGATAAATGTCACATGAGAAGGTTGCATGGTGAACCTTTTGAAAGCAAAGGGAATCATCATCATGGTCTTACTAGGGTGCAGGTCAATTCTAATTCTGAGGAGACACCAGTGTAGGACACTGTATGTGTCAAACAGGATTCTTCCTTTCCCTCTGGAACTTAGGCATGGGATGAAGAGGCAGGGAGAGCCCAGTAGTGGGTTTTTCCTCTGTGCCCAAGAGGATTTAGGTACCAATCCAAGGAAACACATACAGTAGAGAAGTTTGTGAAGCCTAGGTACTTGGTGCAGAGCGGGTGTGACTGAGTGGAGTCTGAGGAGGCATTCCTGCAAGCCTTGGAGATTTGGAAAGAGATCCTATTTGTGAATGCAACAGGGGACTTGAACATCAGGAAATACTTCCGGATGACGCAGGAATGTGGGGGTAGAGTGGAGAAAGGCAAAACCTTTGCATGGTGTTTTCTCCTTGTCACTTGAAAGCATTTGATGAAGTTTTAATTAATAAAAGCTCGTTTGGGTAAGAGAGGAGAGGACCTGTGCTTCAGTAGCTTTAAAAAGACCTTTCTTTGAAATACAGATTTCAGCAATAGTTTGGGCATTGCGTATAGGATATGGTATCTAGAGAATATGATTTCTATAGGTTGGTGTGGCTGGGGTTGTGGTCACCTGCATAGAGTCCTGTCTCAGGTGCCTCAGGCATTGCTAGTTAGGTGAACTTCAGCAAAATACTTAGCTTCAGTATGCCTAACACTCATCTTGTAAGTGGAGACTGGAATATAGGGTTATTGTAAGGATGAAAGGAAATTATTGAGTTAGGACAATGACACATCCATCTTCCACAAGTCTTTTGAGTCCCATTCACTCTAAAGTGGTGGACATACCCATTTCCTTACATCATCCTCTGTGTTGATAGCTGTCACATGCTTCTACAAACGAGGTCAGTGTTACAAGTCAGGCCAATGAGGATGCCTTGGGAAGTCTTTGGAAGAACTTAGAAATCAATGGCTAAAAAACCAGACAAACAAAAAACAAAACCAAAAATTCATAGCTCTAGTTCCTTGAGTATGCCAGCAGAACACTTCCTAGTTGCAGGATGCTGTTAAGTTGTGATGAAACATGTCATATTTGAATTTTAGTCCCCCCCCAACTAATTGTAATATGTATTTCACCTGTAAATAAATGGAAAGTAGAGATTTAAATGGTGTGCCTAAGATCTGTGGTTTTCAGCCCTGGTTCATTCACCAGTGGTAATTGGCCATTTTATTTTATGCAATACAGATTCTTAGAGCTAAGTAATTCTTAACACACGAACAACCTCAATATTCCCCTAAAGTGAGTGAGACTAAATTTCTCAATGAAAAGAAATCTACTGAACAGTTTCCATACTCAAACAGCAGATGCAATTAGGGTCTATTGATTAGATATGCCTTTGTCATCGTGTCTAGGGGTTGATGTCCTTATGTCACATTTTTCTAGAATAGTGATTATGATGGTTGCTGTTATTCACGCTTTCAATAAGTGTGGATTCACTTGAAAGCTACCTTGCCTTCTTCTACCTCACAGGTAGAAGTAGTATCTCAAATAGCTTATCTGGAACTTAGCTCTGGAGATGGGTAGAGTGGTAAGCAGTACACCTGTTTCCAGTTGTGCATTTAGGGTTACCCTGTTAGATTTAGCCCATCTACCTTCACACAGGATACACATACAGAACCCCCCTGGCTGCTTCTAGTTACTATCCAAACCTCAGCTCTTTGTAAATTCTTGCCTCATTGGAGTAGAAGGTTGGAAGGGTCAGTCCTGACATACTTACCAGGGAACTCAAAAGGGTCTTAGAGAAGTCAGTGGTTTTCACACAGTGGCATGAGCTGGTTAGTGGCTAAGGGGGAAGCCAGGTTATTTCCAAATATAGATGTCATTTCTGCTATCCCATCCAACTGAGAGAGTGGGGCAGGGAAAATCAAAATGTCCAGTTGGGTTACTCATATCCATGGCCTGAAAGTTATGACAAAAAATTCATAACACTTCTTTTGCCCTGTTACTACTGTTTGGCAGTCAGTTGGGTTCCTGTATTTCTCACTGTTTCTCTCTAAAGGACCTCTTCCATCTTTATGACAGCACATTTGCCCACATGGGGAACTTTCTAGAAACTACCTGTTATTCCTCTATTCCCAAGTCATCCATCACCTTCAGCTTACTTGTCTCTACCTTTTACATTCTATGCATGTGACTTGATCCTTATTCCAAAGGCTAATAGCATGACCAGAATGACTCATACCACCAGACTTTGCTCCTTGTCTTCCCTTTCTTCCTAAAGTGAGCAACAGTTGCAGGATTAAGTGGTTGTAGATAGAAGGTACACACTTGATAAGAAAACCAGTTCTGGACTAATTTTGCGTCAAGGCCTCTGGGGACATCCAGTGTGTACACTTTTGTAGACAGGTGATGGATGCCCAGAGTGTTTCTGCCCATTGTGGTGTCATCTGACTTGGAGGCTTCAGGGAACCAGAGGCTTAGCTTTTCTTTAGAATTCCCAGTTATGCTGCTTGAGCTGATTTAGGGTTTTAAAAGAGCTATGGCACTCTGAAGCAGCCTGTTAATTATGGAACTTAATATGGAGCTTAATATTGGAATGTTTGGAACTTTTTTACTAGCAACTTTGTTTACATGTATTCAGATTTGAACAAACATTAGTTTAGCTTGAGGTAGGAAACTTTTAAGTTCACATTTAAAACAGTCCAGAAGTTTTTGTGACTGGAGCTTTGAGGAATTTGCATTTTTCCAGGGAAATCTGCAGTGTGTAAGTGATGTCACAGCTTTTAGAATGCTTTTGTGCTTTTAATCACTCATTCATGCACCCTTGGAAGTCAATATATTCCTAGTGTAACCTGAAAGTAAACTTTTATTCTAAGTTGATGAAGAAATGGGCATACAAGAAAAGCTTGGTTGACTGAAGTGTATTACAGTCTTCCCAGATTGCCTGGTCGAGTGGCTTTGAAAAGGTACACAGTTAGTTTCCATTGGTGACCTATTCAAAACACTGTTATTACAGACTAAGACAAGAGAGGAACTAAATACTGACAACTTCTATTCAGGGGAGTTAGTGTATCAGAAGGGAAAACAGCAGTGCCCTGCCCCTATTCTTTAATGATACAGAGAACAAGAGTTCTGGTTGGATTGTTGAGTCTCAGAAGACTTCCATAGCCCAGGCCATCTGCGGTTGGCTTAGAGACTGAGAGTGATGTGGTGGTGTTTGCTGTCTTTGACCTTTACATTTGTCCCCAGCTGTGGCAACATGGGAAACAGTGTCAGCATTCTGTATTTGCTTTTAAGCTCCTCAAATATGATTGGAAAGAAGGGAAAGAGGGAGAAATCTGTGACTTAATAGGTGCACAGGTGTGTTTCATGGATAGGTTGGGCTGAAGTTATGGGACTACTTGGATGTTTGTTAAAGAAACTAACATGATCAACTAAGGTAGCTTGGAATTGCATGACTCATGTTCCCAAGGACAATGCAAAGAATCTGGGTTAACAACTGGTGGTGACCATAGTTCCTGGAGTTTTTGACCACACAACTTTAGGTAAACATGCTGAGTAGCACCCTGTGGACAGGGGTTATGATGGTATCAGGGCTTCCTCAGTAACCCTGGTGATCTTTTGTTGACACACCAAGCTCTCACTTCCCCGGGGCTCACTTAACTGGATTTTAGAAGGTTGGTGATTGGTTTTTCTACCAACAATTAGAAGTATTGTTCATTTGATTGATGGCAGTCTCCAGGGTGTATGTTCCTTCCGGTTTACAACTTAATGTGAGCTCTGTTCATTCCTGCGGTGTAATGACCAACCAATGAAAAACCTTATGGAAGATTTGGTATCCTTTCATTGGTGGATGAACCAAAGGCGGGGAAAGAAACCCATTACTAGCTTACTTAGCCCAGCTCTACCTTTCTGTTCTGACTACCTCTGCTTCTGTCATCTAGAGAGCTTGGCTTTGAAGTCCTCCGCACTGAAGTCTTGGATGGGCAGGGTCTGGATGAACTCACCAGACTACAGTGTAGAGCAGGGTAAGGATGCCACAGGAGCCTAGCAGTTGGTTTCACTAAGGTAAGGCAGCTGTGATCTCTCAAGGAAAAGGAATTCTATTGATGTTACTTCAGGTTATGTCTAACTGACGACCCCCCTGAAGGCTGAGACTTTCACAAAAAGACAATGCAACAACAAAACAAATGCAAAGTCAACATGCTTCTCATCTCAAGTGACCCCCAAACGGTGTTAGCTAACAAAAATCACTTCGTTACTCTCGAAACATCAAGGCAGCCAATAACAGCACATTCTTTGATTGCATCCTTGTTTCTAGCAACAAATGCTGTGTTAAGGAGAAAAGGAAGGGAAAGATGAGGCATTTGGTGGGTTGAGACAATGGACTGTGGTACTGGAGTTTCTCTGCAGGGAGAGGTGGGATTTGATGGCTCTCCATTCCCTCTTGATACCTCGTGGCAGGCACACCATCACAGGGGCCTTTTTCATCTCTACAGTGAGTTCACCCAGCTGAGAAAAATGGCAGAGGAGTCCAGAGGGTTGTACTGTACCAGCTGCCTCCCCAAGTGAACTGCTGTTTGTAGGAGGAGTGAAACCATAGCTGGTTTTGAGTTGGGTGTGATTTCTACTGGAGGGAGGTGAGAGCTGGAGGAGGTGTATCTTAAAAAAAAACAAAAACAACAACAATAAAACACCCTTAGGGTATTAAGACAGTTGTTAATATTAGTCGCTCATACATGGCAAGCCAGCATGCCCTGGCGTGTTAGCCACAGTTTGCTTAGTTTACCTAGTAGAGGAAATAGCCAACAATCAGAAAAATGTTCCAGATTGCTAGTGTACACAGGCTAGTGTGACATTTAACTGGCCAGGATGCCTTTCCATGAGAATTTCTGGTAACACATTTATCTGCCCTGCAGCTGGTCCTACAGCTCCGGTCTTGACAGGCGAAGAGGCATTGTGAGCAGTAGGGTTTTTCTGTAAATAGAGATGTTGGTAAAAACCCTCTGCAAAGGAGGAAATGGCTCAACATGAGGGAAGTCCGAGCTGGGGTGCTTTTGCAGCCATATTTCTGATGGGGGGAGGGGAGAGGGGAAAGCCAGTCTGTTCTGCTTCTAGAAGAGCCTGGATTCCCCTAATGTGGGCACGGTTTCTGATAAGTACAATACAGGAAGCAAAACCACCTCATTTGATGTCAGCGATCTGTGACTTCTGGGATCCAGCACCACCATTGGCTCTTCATAGTGTCTGCGGAGAAGGAAAGGGAAATAGTATAAAGGAGGGAAGGGGAGGAGCCAAGGGAGAGGAGGGAGGGTAGGAAGACTCATATTAGGGAGGTGGGAGCATCTGTGTCTTGCTCTCCTCTTAATGTGCTCCAGCAGCCAGCACAAGGCTTCATAGACTGGGGTCACTTTGCCAGAAAAAGCTCTTTCCTTGTGGTTCCTGGACATTGGCATCCAAGATCAAGGAGCCGGTAGAATTCTTTTTTTGAGGTTCCTCTCCTTGCTTCCTCGTGGTTGCCTTAAGTGGGCTTGTATTAGTCTTCTCACTGCTGGGATAAAAGAGCTGACAAAAACAGCTTACAGGAGACAGTTTATTTCAGAGGGTACTGATGTGGGCTGCCTCTCTGTATGCTGTGAATATGTTTTATTACCACTGGATAATAAAGAACCTGCTTTGGCCTTGGCAGGGTAGAATATAGCTGGGCGGGAAATTCAAGCAGAGATAGAGGGAGAAAGAAGGCGGAGCTGAGGAGATGCCAACAGCCACCCGGAAGCGAGGTGTGAGGTACAACAAGCCACGAGCCTTGTGGTAAAAGGCAGAATAATAGACATGGTTAATTTAAGTTGTAAGAGCTAGTTAATAGTAAGCCTGAGTTAGTAGGTGATGCAGTTTGTAATTAATATAAATTTCTATGTGATTACTCAGGAAATAAAAGTGCAGTCTCCAGTTACAGGGTACAGTTAGTCAGGACTGGTCAATCGTGATGGCAGGGGCATGAGGCAGTGGGTCACATGGCCTCAGCTGTCAGGAAGCAGAGAGAAGGGAATGCTGGTCTTCAGCTGGCTTCCCCCTTTTTTATTAACTTGAGGATCCCACCCCATTGAATAGTGCCACTCATCTTCCAGGGTAGGTCCTACGTCAATTACATGTATCTGGAGGTACTCTTATAGACGCACCTAGAGATGCTTCCATGGTGATTCTAAAGACAGTCAAATTGATGATGAAGGTCAGTCATCATAGACTGTGCACATTATTGCTGTCTTTCCAGATGTCCTCCTGATTTCCCTTTCTGGTAAGGACACAGGCCAGACTGAATGACTCTCTGCCTTACCAGCGTTAGTATGAGTTACCCCATGATAGGCCTCTTTTCCATTACAGTCACAATCTAGAATACCAGAGGGTGTGGCTTCAACTTAGCAATTTTAGAGGTGTATAACTCAGCCAATGATAGCTCCTAACTGAGCTCAAAACAGACGACTTTCTATGGAAACCTACGGAAACTCAGGGTCTCAAGAGGGAGCAAGGGGACTCTGTGCAGCTAGAGCCCTGGCTGACTCTTCTTGAAGCCATGGGAGCCAAGCATGCACCAAACAGGATGAAGGGGAAATCATTTTCCTCAGATTCTCATCACTGAACAAACTAAGGCAGGAGTCAGAGTCAGGTTCCTAGACTTCTGGGCCAAGGATTGTAAATAGGGTGTGCAGGTCCCATTACCTGTACCCTTCTCATGAAGGGCTTGGGCATATGAAGGGGCCTCAGAATCTTTTTCTGTTTGTTTTTTGAGACAGGGTTTCCTATCTTATTTAAATTAAAAACAATTTTATTTTAATACTAATCCCAGTTCCCTCTCCCTCCCGTCCTTCCATTTCCCCATTCCCCATCCCACCTCCCATCCACTCCCTAGGGAGGGTGAGGCCTCCCATGGGGGATCATCAAAGTCTGTCACATCATTTGGAGCAGGGTCTAGGCCTTCCCCCATGTGTCTAGGCTGAGAGAGCATCCCTCCACAGGAAATGGGCTCTCAAAGTCCATTACTGCACTAGGGATGCATACTGGTTCCACTGCCAGAGGGGTCTCAGAGTGTTAACCTAGTGCTGTAGGAAGCTGACATCCCCTAGTAGTTACCTAGAACCCAGAGAAAAACTTAGTTTTCCTCCTGATGTTGTGTTGTTATAAAGCTTTTCACTGCCAGAGACTGGAAAAAGGACAAGAGGTGGGATTGCTCAGTGCAGGTAGATGGAGCCAATCTTCAGTTCGTAGAGTGGAATGGGCTTATTCTGAGGGAGCTCCTTGTAAAGTCCTATCAGCAGAGGTGGTGGTGGGGACAGAAACATTTAGCAGATGTGTGAGTCACTTTCAGTCCTACCCCACCATCATCTGTGCTTATTGGTAGGAATTCACTAGACTTATTTTTATTGGGGGATAATCTTTTTTTTTTTTTTTTAAAGATGGGGACTCCAGCCAAAACAGGTATCAGAAAGAGTCTAGGATTTTATGGAAGGCTTGGGATCAGTAGAACATTAAGATAGGGACATTGTGGTCCATGTTGATGACTACACAAACCAAGACTACTAAAATTTGGGGCCTTTCCATGTAACAAAACAAGTAGTAATACATAAAGGGGTTTTTCTGAGGGACACTCTAGACACGTGCAGCTGCAGGTATGTCTGCCCTTACCTCTTGTGCTTTTCAACAGAGCAGTTTGCAGCCTTAGAGGGTGATTTCTCAAGTGAATTAGCCATTGGTTTCTGTTTTTCCATCTCAAGTTGGGTCAGATAGTTTTAACTACAGCAATGCAAATATGACCTCATTAGCCCACTGTGAAACCAAAGGTGACCATTTAATTTTACTACATGGGATAAACAAGCCTAAGGTGATTCTACTTAGTATTTTTATAAAAAAAATTCACAGGTAGATTATCTCCCCTAGAAGATATTTGATGTAATTATTTTAGAATTCCAACATTTTCACTCTATGCAATGCTTGTGTTTAGGCTGCCATGAGTGGTCCTCTTATTGTATGCACTTCTTCCATTCAGGCCTAAGAGCCGCCACTCTGTCTAAGGCCCGTCCTGGGTACCAAAGCACTGTGGCCTCTCACATCTGCCCACTGTCATATGCCCGAGCCACAGATGGTGTGGAGTGCCCATCCTTCTGCAGGACCATGACTCAGACGTTTGCTTTCCAGCCTGATGTCTCTTCACCCCATACTTAAAATCGTGACTCTCTGTTGCATTTCAACTAAAACATGGAGGCCTTTGGCCAATCTCTAAGGTCCCATATGTTTATCTTTTGACTTCTTTCACATGTACTGTCATCTGCTCTCAGTGGACTGGCTACAATGCCTACTCAAGTTCTTATCTCGCTCCAAGATTGTCCCTGCTGTTTCTTCTGCCGGAGATATTCTTTCCACAACTGAAAGGTTAAGTGACACTTTCTCTCCAGCACTGTGGACATTTTTGTGCTTATTTGATGTCTTTGCTCCTCTAGATCAAAATACACCCAGGAGGCAAGAATGTACCGCTCTTGTTAACTCCTACAGTATCCTGTGTGGATTTGATACACCACAAGCACTCTGTGTTTGTTCAACATGCAGTATATTCATGGCAGGCACATGCATTCTGCCGGTTGCTCATGGCAGCTGAGATGACACCCATATAGAAACACTAAATTTCACCTCATCAGTTGTGCTTACTATGAAGATGAATAGCTGATGAACTCCAATTAGTGTAATTATTCTGTTTCCAGGCAGTAACCTCAAAGTAATTGTCCTAAAGCCCTGAGACATTACAAGTAATTAGTGTTGATGGTTCATGCATCTGTGCTCCCTTCTAAGGTAGAGTCTCAAATGGAGAATACAACTGCTATTCGTGGGCAACAAATAATATTGCATTGTGGGAACTTTGTACAGTACAACTCAGTGAGAGCTGGGGCAGAGTGCAGTGGACATTGCTTGTCTGTTCTTCCAAATCACTGAGTGTTATTCGTTAGCTTTGGGTCGATCAGTACTGAGCAGTTTAACCAGCCTTTGTGAAGTTGGGAATGTTAGCCTGCCAATGAGCATGTGATTTGAGACACAGTAGACACTTCCAAACCTACTAAGGGGACAATGAATTGTTCCCTGACTCCATGCTAGGACTGCTTACCCTAAATTTTGTGAGTTTTTCGAGGTCAGGACTTTGCCAGTTTTGCATTTTTGAAACGGTGGCATGGCATTTTTATGAGTCCATTTCTAACTGAATCTGTCGCCTGGAAAAGGCCTGAGCACATGCCTCATTGTCACATACATCAGGGTAACCAAACAAGGCTTGTCGCAGAAAACTGTCCTTGGCTTTACTCCAAACAGAATGCCATTTGTGAGATGCCCCCTTCCTCTCTGGTTTTGATGTATTCCATGAAAGTTTGCCCTGATGTTTTTCCCATTGTCTTATTCATAAATATCGTCGGCTTTACTCTTAACTATTAGAGGGTATTTTTATGTCTATCCTGTAAACTATCACAGAATATGTCTAGTTTTCTTTTAAAAATTTTTTTTTATGTTTATGTGTGTGTGTGTGTGTGTGTCTGCAGAGGGCAGACGAGGGCATTGGACACCCTCCCCCACAAACACACACAGCAGAGCTGGAGGTACAGGTGACTGTGAGCCATGCAACATAGGTACTGTTAACTGAGCTGTGGTCCTCCACTAGAGAAGCAGGTACTCTTTCCACTGAGTCATCTCTTCAGGTCCATTGGGAATAGTTTCCTTAAACTTGTTCTTATCAGTGGAGTGCTTATTATATTAGTAGTTTTGTGCTTTTAAAACTGTGGCATGGCATTGGTTTCTGAAGCAATTTCTGGTTGAAGAATAGCAACACTTTGCTTCAGTGGATGTGCTATTTCTAGGGATGCCCTTTATACATATTCTAGATACTTTTTTTAAACAATTGAATTGGTTCTCTTTTACATACTAAGACTGTATTTATACTTGATGTAACTGTAGAGTTGGGGTACAAGATAGTCTTATGCCTTTTACATAATTTATACAACAAACATTTGGTATTTTATTAAATCAACACCTTCTCTTAAAACCGTGCCATTGGAAATGAGATAAGTTCATAAACTGTCAAGTTGAGTCTTCCATTGGGACTCCTTTTTCCTCCTCCTTTCTAGTACTCTTTTAACACATCTCCGGGCCCTCCCTCGACAGATCTGAAGGAACTGCCCATGGGGAAAGGTATCACACACCTGCGGATCGTGGATCATGTAATCGTTATACATTTGATTCTAATGCATAGGGTGAAGTCTGCTTGATTAAACTAATAGAACAAAAAGATAGAGAGAATGGAGGCAGTAGAGCAGATAGCTCCTTATAGTTAATTTTATTTTATCCAAACTAAGTTTAGCATCCCTGACTTACCATTCCTTCTGGTTCTTCATATACTAAGTTCCATATATGTTCTTTGTTTTTGGTTCATATGGGTTTTACATTTGTGTAAGGAGCTGGAAGGTCACGATATAATGGTTGAGCAGCAGATAATGACATTAGCTAGTATCTGGGTGACTAGTCCATCTTTGACATCTATTTTCAGGCGTGTGATAGTTTTTCTTTCTTTTTTTCATTTCTTTCCTCATCCTGCCATTTCTTTAAACTTCTGATGATGATATTTAGTTTTAAAATTGGAGAATTCAGGAAAAGACACCATGAATCACTAGGGGTCTGAAGGCATGACCAGTGTCGATGTTAAGGCTGTGTTGTCTCTGTCCTCTTGGTAACCCAGTGGACAGGCCTCAGTCTGTTGGTAGGAGAGCCAAGATCCTTCTCCCCACTTTGAATGTGGGAAGATTGTCCTGCTCCTACTCATCACTGTCACTGGGTCAGGAGAACATTTGAGACTTTAAGTAAACATGTTACTTATGTAGCTAAACATTGCAAACTTTACTTTGGGAATGAATTCCCTTTCTGTATTAAAGATGAATTGCAGTTGTAAAAGGGGTCCATGTGTTTCCCAAGTCTGCCTTGGGAATCTGTGATGAAGAAATGCTCTCTATTCATTTCAACATGGGAAGATACAAACCACAGTAAAATGTTGTGGAATTAATTTTTATTTGTTGATGGAGCTGGGAGACATGATAATTTATTATCTTTTTTAAAGGAACTTACAGGCAAGCAAATAAGCCAGCAATTACAGAGTGATGAGTATCAGTCTATAGATTTACTAGACACCACCCTAGAACAGGCTTTAAATCAACTCTATCAGTCACTCACCTTGCCCTGCCTCTTTTGCTGTAGTCTATCTGTAGATCTTAAGCCATCAGAGATAGCCCAAGTTCAATTATCTATTACTGGAAGGGTTTAATGTAAAGAGCTCTTTAGACAATGCAGGCGAATTCTGAATTGATTTTATTTAATTCCAAGGTCTTAATCACTAGAAATGAAAAGACATTTAAGTATCTTAAGTTTCCATTAAAATTCAAACCTTTAGGGCATTAGATATAGAAGGAAAAGCCTGCCAATGTCAAACCACAGTGAAGTGAATTCTTGCTGTTGGATTTCTTGAGGAGTTCCAGGTGAGTTTACCTGTGACAGCACAGGCCACTTGGTTTGGAAAACAGGAAAAATTGCTGTGGTTCCAACCTTCAAAATTTTAAGAAAAGCAACCTATCGTTTATAAGATCTTTCAACTCCTTCCTGTAGAAATGTTCTTATCAAGTCCAAGGAATGAATAATGTTTGTTCTTTCTTCTGAATCTAGACAAAAGTGTAGTGTCTGGAGCAAAGAATTCCGTGCTATGGAAAGGACTCTGACCTTTAAGGATGGAGGGTGTCTATACAAGGGGAACACTTTATTTTGATAAAATGTGATCTGAGAATGTCCATGTAGGTTTCTTTGCAAGGCTAGCGTTGGCACCAGAATATTACCCATAACTGTTTTCTGTAAGTGTACTTCATATGTGTCCAGACAGATGTGGGTATGATTTCTCTCCTAACATGCTGGCTTAATTTGACTCCAGAATAGCTTCAGATTGGACTCTTGGTCATGTATTTTTTTTCTCTTAATTTCTCATCACACTTGGAGAGAAGTTAGTAGCCAGGCTCTTAGTGGTGTAGCTTTCACCTTCTACTCTGCTTTCTATTTCCTGTCATCTGGAGTGGGTGACTGGTTGACTTTGTAGAGAAACTCCTGGATACTTAACGTTGTCTTCCTGGTCTTTGCTTCCCTAGAACCTTATCTAGCACTTGGCCCAGTGTAGTTGTTTAATGTGATCTTTAAGGCAATTTTATTACCTTGCTAGAAGAAAAACAAAACCAGCTTATTATTACTCTTATTTACACTGGTGGGAACCATGGGCAAACCATCTGGTGTTTGTTTGCAGATTGATAAATAGTTTCACAATAGAGATGAAAGATTCATCAAATGCCACTGATATTTGAGACTCTAATAGTTCAAATATAGTGAGCAGTACATTATTTTTATTAGATCCTCGTTGTTTTCTTAATAGGTCATCCTGGTTTGCACAAACATAGTTCTCTGTCTCAAAGAATCTGCTTATGCTAGTGTGTAATTCTGGAACTAAAAAAACCTGGGATGTTTCAGCATACCTTGCAAGCTCCCTAGTGGAATCTTCCAGCCCACAAAGCAGTAGACAACCAAGAATTCCTCATGGAGACGAAGTAGGAAAACTGATGAGCCTGTCTAGCCTGGACCAAAGAACTCCCTCAGAGTTCATCTGGGATGCTTTTCTGAACTAAGGCACAGACTGAAGGTCTGTTCTTAACATGATTTAGGGGTTTGCACAGTTAGAAGGACTACTCTCCAAGTCTCCAGCTGGAGACTATGGGAATGAGGGACTCCAGTGGTCTGTCACCTGGCCATTCCATTTGACTCTGACACGGAGTGCTTATGGTTTGATGTCACTAAGTAACACTGAGACAAAAAGCACACTGTCATTTCTTAAGTATCTATTCAAGAATCAGGCACTTGTCTTGCTCTGAGTAGTGTTCCTTCTTTGAGTGATCTAATCACCCATTAGTTGGAACTCCCCAAGACATCTTGTGTAGGCTTTGACTTAGGATATTTTTGTGAACAATACCTAACCCATTGTCTAGGTGCCTTTCTGTGTGTGTGTGTGTGTGTGTGTGTGTGTGTGTGTGTGTGTCTATGTGCCTGTGTGTCTGTTTTAGCTGTTCTCTCTCTTCAGAACAGCACAGGGACACTGGATTTCCTCTAAACCTCATAATTCATTGGTTCTCCTCACTATTTCAGAGTTCTGCAGGCAAAGGTGGTTGCTGTTTCCATCCAACTCACCTTCATGACTGGCACCCTGAGTTTTTATTTCACCAGAATAAAACTTCAAAGAATTGGAAGAACCCGGGCCTCCTTCCTCTCCCTTTCAACTAACACCTACTGATGTTTATCTTGGAAATAATGTAATGCCTATTTGATGAAACCTGTAGTTAAGTGTGTTAATTGAGACTCATGCCAGCTGCAGGACAATGTGGATAGACTTTTAATAGTCTGTGTTGAGACTTACACTCAAAAGATCTGTGGAACCTGTGAGATCTGGCATATAAATGTTTGTCTGGTCCCCAGGTCACCTCAGTGGAATGTCTAAAGCTTTGCCATGGTTAGTTCCCATCTGAGATTAAGACATTTCATTGCCCACCCCTCCCTTTCTGTTGTCTTTCCATGGTACCTCCTTCCCAGCACTAGACATAATTGCTGATAGATATGTAAAGTAGGACCCAAGGTGTGTAGCTACGATAGTATGACTCGTGACTTATCTTTAACTAGTGATAGGACTTCATGAGTTTTCAGAGACTGTGTAGAATTACCTTAGTGGGAGCTGTCAACTATTTCACACCTCTCTTCTGTTTAACCTTGTTCATCTTCAGCGAAGTTTCCTTGTCTTTCCAAATGGTGACTTCCCAGCTCAATAATAAATGCTTAGGAAAGAAGAAAAACTGGTTTAGTCCCCACTCTCAGCAGTGTAAGAAGGCTGCTTAGCTTGGTTCACCTGGTGGAATGTGTGAATAAGCTGAAAACTAAAACCATATGCTCTTCTTTATCTGGATAATCAATCAACACATGTCTAAATATTACATGTGGCCCTCAACACTTTGAAGATATGAAGTATGAGGAAACTCTTATTTACTGTAGGAAATCATTTTTTTTATAGGATAACAAATTGAGGGTATGTTTAAAGTAGGCCTTTATTTAAATTTTTGAGGCAGTGTCTCACTTTGTAGTCCTAGCTGTCTTGGAACTTATTTTGTAGATTAGGCTGCTCACAGAAATCCTCCTGCCTGTAGCACCGGAGTGGTGGGATTAAAGGTGTGTACCACCATCCCCTGCAGGCTGGGTCATTGTTAGTAGACAAAGCAGAGGGGCATACGTTTGGAGGTAATCATGGCCCCATGATCAGTCTGTGCAGCAGAAGTGACTTTGGCACTTGTACAAAGATTTCTAGCTTACAATTCACCTTTGGCTGAGCTTGACGTGGGCTGAATCTGTTGGTGACTCAGGGATTCTGATATGTGTGGCATATTTGCCTGTGATCATGTCCTTTCAGGCAGCACACACTTGAGTTAGTGAAATGAGGCTCCTCCTCTGCTGTGGAAGGGGGGCGAAGAGGAAGTAATGGGGAGCGGTGAGTTGACCAAAGAATGACATACAGATATGAATGTCACAGGAAATCCATCATCCTCTATGATTAGTTTACACTAATAACATAGTAAAAGACTCTTGGTCTAGATTCCAAGTCTGTTAGTTTATACTGATCTAAACCATCTTCTCTGGAAACTGCTATAAAGGATGTGTTAATACAGTAGGACAGAAATATTTGTTTTCTTTCTTGAATAGTCTGGAAACCACCATAAAGGATGTCTTAATACAGTAGGAGGGTAATATTTGCTTTCTTTCTTGAGTAGTCTCAGTAGTAATAAGCACTGTTCACAGAGACCAGGTAGACAATTGAGCCTGTGCTGTGCTTTCACTGTATTGTCCGCCTCCAGAAGTTATACACTGGAGCCTGGTACCCAATGGCCTAACAGGCTGTGTGTTGTCTCCACCCTCACCAAGAAGATGAGGATTCTCACAGAGGTCAACCGGAACATCCTCTCCTCTTTGTTCTCTGTTGTAGATGTCACAGCATTGAGAGTAGTAGAAATAACTTGTTTATAATTTACTCAGACTCAAGGATTTTGTGACAGGCATAGGAGTGAGCTAAGACAAAAGACAGACAAGGAATTGATAAGGAGGTCAGGTTGTTATAATTTTGATCCTAAGCAGATAATATAAAACTACTATTTCTGGGAAATTGAAGCTAGTCAAAGACTTATTTTTAAACTAGAATGAAAAACACGCTCTGGTCTCTTTTAATTATAATGTAATAAAATAAAGGCTTGTAGTCTGTGGGACACACCCTTGCCTTGTGCTTGCTGTGTTCCAAGCAGTCTTGCATGGTTTTCGAGAATACACAGCTGGGGGAGGCAGGTTCTATCAATAGATAACCTCTTTGTACAGACGAGAAAACTGTGAGTCACAGTCAGTGTGACCCTCGATATCCTACTTTATGTTTCTCATTAATTGGCAATATTCCAGTCAGTTAAAAATAAAGCTTAATTTGTTACTACAAGCTAAGTAAGTTTTCTGATTCCTTTAAGCAGGTGCTATACGTTGGCTGCAATACTGGGGGTGAGACTTTTTAGGTCTGGGTCAGAGCTCGAGTGATGCCCTCTCCCAATGAGGCCCTTTTCACCAGACCGTTGCACTGTTATGGGTGGGAATCTGGCCTATGGGGCTCATCACAGAAGCGGGTTGGAGGCTGGACAATTCAAGAATAGGTCAGAAAACTAGTGCCTAGAGGGAACTTAAAAACTCAGGCTTTCTGAGACCTAGAGTTTTTTTTGTTTGAGATATATATATACATATATGTGTATATTTATATATTTATTTATTCAAATCGAGAGGTACCTGAACTGGGATGTTGAGCCACCATGCCTCTGTTAAATGCAGTACTACATTTGAAGTTAAGTGGGTATCTTTAGGAGAAACCACTCCTCTCATTCACTCCCAATCTCCTGATTGACAGGGAAAGGAACAGTTTTATTATGCTGTTCCCTGGAATAGGAAGTCATTCTCATTCTTACAGTAATAGTTTTAGCAATTATAGTGAATTATAGAAAACCTGTACTCTCTCTTTTGCTTCTAAATTTTGTCAATGAGTCAGTTAATATAACGGCAAAGAAGAAAGGCAGGAAATGGTAGAAGTTTTCGAGAGTGTTTTCATCTGTAACGGGCAGAGGTAAGAATGACCTGGTGGTTTTTTTCTCTCTTCCTCTTTGATACCATATTTTCCAGAGAAGTTTCGTTTTCGCAGCTAAATTGAGCAGAAGGTTCAGATACTTGCCGTATGTTCTCCCTTCCCACACATGCTCAGCCTCCCCCATTCTCCATGTGCCCTACCAGAGTGGGATTTTTGCCACACCTACATCGATGCGTGCTAAGCAACCGAAGTCCATACTTTCAGTAGAGTTTGTGTTTACTCTTGTACATTGGATAGCTTATAACAAGCTTATTGCATGTCCAACATTAGAGTATGACCATGTCTTCTCCTCTTCTTTTTTCCTACGGTTCTGGAGGTAGAAGACTGGGCCGTGCACATGCAGACAAGTGCCTGCTCAGCTACATCTCCTGACTACTTGTCTCGTAACAAATGCTCACATTGGGACTGCTCATTTAATTTAAGAGGGGCTAAATGGTTTTAAGTGCATTTGTTAGGTCACTGTGCCCCTTTAAAGAATGTGTGCTGTTTCCAATTACGACTTCACATCACAGACATTAGCATTATTTGTAAACAGCAGAGACTAACTGCACTTGTTCATGTCTTTCCAGAGTGGCGGTAAATCAGAAACAAGTCAGCCTAGTTAACAAAAGGCACTCAGGGCTGATGGCCCAGAAATAGATGCAGTATGCACTTAGAAGGCTGAGGCAGGAGAACAGCAAGTCCAAGGCCCGTCTAGGCCACAGAACAAGGTCAAGTCCAGCCTGGGAAACTTGGTCCTAGCTGATTCAATGTTAAAAGCTATAAAAGGACCGGGAATACAGCTCCTCTCTCTCTCTCTCTCTCTCTCTCTCTCTCTCTCTCTCTCTCTCTCTCTCCCTCCCTCCCTCCCTCCCTCCCTCCCTCTCTCTCTCTCTCTCTCTCTCTCTCTCTCTCTCTCTCACACACACACACACACACACTATTTGCCTTTTAAAGTGATTTTCTTTTCAGGGAGTAGCTAAGTAAGCAGACACTATAAACCTCTGCCCTTCATGAAATCTGGGTTGTAGAGTAGCTTATATGTCTAAAGTAAAAGGGAATATTCTGGAACACGTATGTAGTCTCCATCAGGCTGTTGTGGTAGATGATGAATGGGCATCGTGATGAACCCTCCTGACTATACGCTGCTGTTTCATCCATTATTTGTATCTGGTTTGGTATGAGCCCACCCCACTTCCTTTGCTTGTATTAGCTGTTCCAAGTTGACACTGTGATGTCTGCCTCATGCTGCAGGAAAGATAAGCCAGGCACACAGCCACCTGCCTGCGGGGTGCTGTTCCTGACTTCCTTGCTCGCCTCCAGTTTGGGTCTTGCTTCCTTTGAAGCACTTGTGGCACACTTCAAGTATTCTGTTGGTAACTTGGTCTTTCTTGCTTGTGCAACTGGAGGCTGCTGCGGCTGGAAGGCCTGCCTTGCGCGCTTTACCATCTCTTCCCTAGCCTGCAGGTAAGCACTGTGCTGTCAGGCCCTGTGTTTGTCTTCATGGCTGTGTCTTTGAGACCCCACATCTTGGTTTTCAGTAGAGATTTGACCACTGCCTATGAAGAACAGCATAGCTGTTGCCAAAGTGTTCACCACACACAGTAGGTTCGGGGTACTGAGGAACTGAGTGAGTTAGTTCTTTGTGTGTATTTACAATGTAAACTGTGAAGCAGAGTTGAAGATTCATAACTGATGTCTCATGTTCTCAAATATTGGGAGATAGAGTTCAATTTGATGAGACTCTATAAGCAAAATCCTTTCTAAAACCTTCTGATAGTAATGACTACATTACACATTCCAAAGTCTGGAGACAGAAGGACGAGGTGAGTGACTGGTCAACATCTGGTAGGGGTCTGATTGTCTGTCAATCAAATAGTTTATAGCATGCTAATAATTAGATTTGTGTGTCTGCATGATCTGCTTTACATACAGGATTTTGTCTGGTTCTAGATTGCAGAATCTGGGACCCTCCCTGAAAAGATCAGGCATAGGGTTGGCAGGAAGCCACTGGGACTGATTGTTCCTCAAATCATGGCTACCAACTAATGGAATAAAACCAAGGTTTCCAATCTACAAATGACTCCTGAGATCCTGTATGGAGATAGATGAACAATCTAGTCAGCTTGTGAAGTGTAACCTAGATTTAAAATGCAGTCCGGGTTATTACCTTCATTACTGCTACTTACGTTAAACTTTGTTAAGTATCAGTCAGTCAGTACTAGAGACCTCCTCGGAATACTTTGGGTGAACCATCTCTCTGACCAAGCACAGGTTTGTAAGGACACAACAGCTTGGAAACATCTGAGGGGCCACATTTTTCATCAAATTTGCAGTTCCAAACTTTTCCGTTACAGGTCTTTGAAGAAGTTGCATCCCCCACACCAGCCCCTGTGTGAAGTTTTTGTGAACCCTGAGAATCACCCAGTTTTTAATCTAATCTTGGATTACCTTGCACAAATGGTTTGGATTTGTGAGCATTAGCTTGTTAAAATTTTAACATCTGAAGTAGTGGCCCCTGGGTGTCAGGCTTTGGATCTAGATGACACTGTGTGAGAATGTGCCCTGAAGTTTGGTGGCCGTGGATCACAACTTCTATACATCAGGCACCTCTTTATTGTTAAGTCTTCGTTTAGTTCAAAGGATTGGAACTAGAGATGTTGCCTTGTCTTCATGTAATTATGAAGAAGTAGGTTAAATACCAGACAGCCCAATGAACATATTTTCTGTGCCCTGTGGGGTCTTGAGACTGATGCAAAGTTGTAATCCTCACCACGGATGCTGCTTCTTCAAACGGTGTCTGAGGCTGGGGACCAGCTTTGATGTGGCCTATTATGTTTCTGGGTCAGCGTTCAAGCCAGCCCTGCATGGCATACTGCCTCTCTCAGATTTGTGGAACCTGGTCTTTCACACACACAGTGGCAGGTATGCAGCAAGGCCAAGTCAGTGCTCCAGCTCTTCATGTCCAAGTTCACAGCTCACTTCATGTGATGTGAACCAAGGGATGAATGTTTTATAGGGGACTTGAGCCATGGTTGGCATTTCTGCACTCTGTCCTGTGGTGGCCCCAGGCTGCCATGAGGTCCTAGACTCACACTCAGCAGCCTTGCTCTCTGGTTGTCAGTTGTTTCGTCACGGTAGTGCAGCTCTTGAACATCCACATCTGTGTGGACAGATGCTTCTAGGCTGATCTGTAGCCAGTGACCGCATCTTACTTACATGGACCTGTTGTCAGAATTCTTACTTCCGATGTAACCATAGCAACCTTTTTGGCTTACTTGTAGATTTAGCCTTGTCCCCTGATCAGTGCTACAGTTAAAGGACCCGGTTTACACCCAGTGCCTATTCTATGAGGCAGCCTTTATCCTGACTTTAGTTTTATTCATTTGATGTGAAAATAGTGATATCACACTTCTAAGGACGTTTTTTGTTTCTCCTCCCTCATTATCCATTGTCTTTCTGTGAGCTGGATAAGTTAAGTAATTCAAAGTTTTTCAGTGTTAGCATATCATGACGTTCGTTCTGTATTGGACCATCAATCTGTTTGCTGTTAACTGAAGGGAGGCTGCTGCAGAAAACCATCAAATGGTACCTGCTCCAGATTGAGTTCAACCATAATCTGGGGAGTGATGATGTTTACTGATCACTACTATATGAGGGCCCAATGCCATGCCATGACTCAGTGTCCTCACATTCTTGTTGCATTAATAAAACCAAATTCATACACCACCGTGTTCTTTCAAACTCTGAAGGCAAGAACCCAACATGCTCTACTGTACAATGTAAATGACTTCCCTCCTGCAAGATAACACCACGTCCTAAAACAAGCATGCCATTATGTGTCCATGTCAAACAAGATGGCACAGAAGGATGTCTCTTGGGGGAATATATATAATGCTCGTATACACCAGTGCACCTATTTTAGGACTTCTGAATTCCTTTCCTCCCTTCACTTTCTTTGTTCTATGGCTCTACCGTCTCCAGGGGGAGGCCTAGCTTAAAATCTTATTAAGCATTAACATATGCTCACATCCTAAATTAAATGTAATTTGCAAAATTAGAAATCTGTTGACTTGTAAAACTAATTGGCATACCTATTACTGCAGAAGAACACTAATTAAAATCTGGAGGTCCTCATCATTGTGGTTTGGGGACATTATTTACTGACTTGAGATCTCATTTTCTAGCATGCTCGTGAGCTCAGCCACTCTTGTCTGTGTATGCAGATCCCATCTGTTGCCTCCACTCGTCTCTTGGTGGGCTGAACCTGTGTGGGGTACAGTCAATGTCAGTCCTATTGCATACCCTTATTTTCTTTCACCCACCTAGTAACTAGGGTATGTCATCTACTCCCCTTTCAGGCCTTTGGGGGTGGCATTTGCCTCCTGAGCTGGGGGGCAAGGAATGTCTTGATGGATGTCATTAACTAATGAGAAGTTTCAAAAGCCAGCTGGAGTAACTGCTTTGATATTTTCTGTTTCATTCCATCAAGGTAGAATCAAAGTAAGAACGTTAAGGAGAGACAGGGGCTGTGAAAGTATTTTCAGTTGAAACTGGCAGCATATATAAGCATATACAAGCATGCTTCTCTTTCTCTGTCTTCTGTTCCTTTCACTTTGGTCTTGGAAGACTAGTTCTCCTGTAGTCCAAGCTGGTCTTGAAATCTCTGTGTTAAATTTGAACTCCTGATCTTCCTGCCTCTACCTCTCAATTGTTGGGATGGCAGGTCACCTGCCCTGTTTCTCTCTCTCTCTCTCTCTCTCTCTCTCTCTCTCTCTCTCTCTCTCTCTCTCTCTCTCTCTCTCTCTCTCTCATATCTTACAATGGAATTGCAAGATTTTAAGTGAGAGGAGATCACATGGAATTGCATGCAACGGTAGTAATGCTGTAGTAAGATCCCAACATTTCTGGCTGGTAGCAGAGTGCTTAGTAGTTCTCATCTCTTAGACTGGAACACAACAGGAAGATTGGGTTCAAGTAGATGAGAAAGGTAGCAGCCTTCTTCCTTTGGGAAACTCTGAGCTGGAGGGTTTTGACAGTTGCCCAACTGGTTGTACCATTGTGTCTGAATGTAAAACCTGAGCATGAGAATCAGTGCTCTGGACGTTACAGCATCTCAGAAGCTCTGGAACTCAGAGGGTCTTCATGTCTTAACAAGAGAAAGACTGGGTGAGTGCAACCCAAGGTGATACTCTCAGGAATGTTTGGATTCAGCCCTGGACAGGAGAGACAAGTCCAGGCTAGAGTTGGTGATGGAAGAGAGTGGTCTGGGAAGAAACTCATGGTATGAAGTGGATAGCATTTCCTTTCACTATTAGATGATTCTTTGATATCATGCAACCATCATAGAGATACATATTTTAACTTTGCAGTGGGTCAAGCATGATATGATCACAAGGGCCCCACAAGACCTTGTCCTCTGTTCAAGGAGAGTATTTTTAAAATCCTGTCACTTCAGATTTTAGAGATAACTTCTCACATGTTACCATCCCCTGTGGCTTGCCTCACTGCAAGAGCTATGTTCCTGTTACATCCTATGTTTCTTTGCTGTCAAGAAGTCTGAGTTATAAACAAACAAACAAACAAACAAACACCACTAAAACCTAAACCTCCCCCTTCCCCAACTATCTTCTTCCCCTGTCTGCAGTGTGCATGAATCCCTCATGCCATTCTAACTGGTGTCTGACTCACCTTTGCAGCCTCCAGTGGACTCCAGTCAGATTCCCATCTGGTCATTGGGTAGAGAACTTTCACCCAAGACCAACACACAGTTGAGCTAACCCTCTTAGCCTTCTTCCTTCACTTTCCTGCCATCCTGGGCTTGCGTATGTAGCCCAGGCTGACCTGTAGCTTGTGACCTTCCTGCCTCAACCCCCTGAGAGCTGGTAAAACAAATGTGTCACCACTCTCACCACTCCTGGCTTAGCAAACTTAAAGGACCAGACAGGCACTATTTTAGACTTCTGCTACACAGTGTCGGTCTCAGTTATTCAGCTTTGCCCTTGGGATGCGAAGGAGCCACAGGCGGTGTCAGTGAATGGTGAGGCCTGAGTTCCGGTGGAACTTCCTTCAACTCTGTAGGGGTGAAGGCAGCCCAGTTTGCTGCTTGCTGCTCTTAAAGAAGAGGTTAAGTTCTGGAATTTCCAGACAAATCAAATCACATGACAAAACCGAAAATCAGCTGTTGCGTTCTTCTTCGTCTGCAGGATTCAGAGGACTCAGCTACGTTTCTGAAAACTTTGTCTTAGCGATGTTACCTTTCATAGGTGGATCTTGATTTAGGAGAACAGCTGTGGTCTGAAGTGAGGGGATCCTTGGTTCTGCATCTTCCTTTCTCTTGCTTGATTTGGATAGACCTGAGCAACCAAACTTCTCAGTAGCTCAAAATGAACCTTATCTCTCAAGACTTCCCTTCGAAGTCAGTTGATTACCAAACTGTGAGGCCAAGTTTGGTTGTCACAGCTGTGTCCATCTGTCAATGCTGGTGTGCTGACGGGCTGGAGCCCACTGAAGAGGCAAAGCTTCACTTCTCACGTTGTTAGTCAACTGGTGTGCGTTTTACCCACCGGCAGTGGGAATACGACTAATTCGTGCGGGAGGATTTATGGAACATAAGAATCCTTCAGGGTTAATTACCACATGTGCTGCTTTGCATTTTCTTGTTCTGTGTAAGGATGTGTGTGGCTACTTGAGGAAAAAAAACGTTATAAAAAGAATATGCATTTAGGCACTTCGACAATGTATTCTAATTGGATGTCTTTATTTGCACCGTACTTGAGAGTATTTAGTATTTTGAGCTAGACGAATCTTGAGGGGGGCTTTTTTTTTTTCCCAAAGAAAAGAGCAAGCTAGTACTTTAGTATCTTCTGTGCAAATAAGCGCTGATTGTGGGAAAAATGAGTATAATTCATTTTTAAAAGACTCAGAAGCAGTTTCTCTAGTCTTTGTTAGCAGTTGATTCACATTTACTTGTAATTGAAAAAGTAAGTTTCTGTGAAAACAACTGTAGCTCAAGCTCTTTTATTTTTTATTTTTTAAATTACTTTCCCCATGAAAGAGTGTATGCATTGCAGGGGTATAGTGGTACATATCTAACCATTGGTGTCCTTCCTGTTTATAAAACATAAAAGTGTTCTCTTGTGAATGACCTCTGCATGGCAGAATGATTGGGGGAGGGGTGGGAAGACCTGCTGAGGCTGGGAGTGTTCCAGGTGTGTTCTCCTCACTAATTCTAAGGACAGGGGTGTGATTTTTGTCCATGAGGATTGTTCTGATTTTGTGGATTTTTTTTTTGAAGTGTGGTTTCCAGGCCACAGTTAGATGGAATCAGTCTGGGTGCCAAAGTAAAATGAGGTAGTTTGATTAGTGCTTGTATATAGTGAGATCTTGGTGATGTTTTTAAATAACTGTCATTTATTTTACAGGGTTTAATTTAACAAAGCGTGCAAGTCCCAAGGGGAAGCCATCACAAAATGTGACCTGTGCGACTCGACCACTGACAGCTTAGTCTAAGTCTCACTTGGTTCCAATCCTAAGACATGTTAGGATTGTGTGCGTGTGCGTGTGTGTGGGGGGAAGGGCCAGTGAAAAATAGAGAGAATAAGTATTTTTCTCCTGTCCCTACTTGTCCATTTTCTGTTCCCAAATTGTCTTTTTTCTATTCTCATATGACACTATGTACCATTCATATTCCTGACATGAGAGGAGAACGTGTCATTTGTCTTCTGAGTTGGCCTCCTTTAACTTCTCCCCTCAGTCAGAAGATGTGTGATTAGGAAAACAAACAACCAAAGTTGGTGAGGACACAAGCCCAAAGCATGTCTGTTCATTATTGGGAGGATGGTGGAAATGTACAGTGGTCCAGCCACTGTGGAAATCGGTATGGAAGTTCCTGAAAAATTCAAAAGTGAGGCTGAACATAAATGGCTGAGCATGAGCGCGTGCATGCGCTCACGCATACACACACACACACACACACACACACACAGAGTCATAATAGATTAAAAGTGTAATGATCATGTGATCTATTCATACTAAATCCGGAAACATATCAAAAGAACTCTAAGGCAACATACCACAAAGATATCTGTACATTCATGTTACAGTGAGAGAGAGAGAGAGACAGAGAGAGAGAGAGGAGGACCATGGAGTATTAGTCAGCCATTAAACAACAAATTATAATGTTATTGTGGGAAAACGGATGGAACTCGAGAT